CTCCCAAGGCAGAAGGAATACCACTGATGGCTCTGAAAGCTTCAAACAATTTCTCCAGCCCAGCTGATTGCTAACAAGAACACATGATAACTCCTTCAACAAGGTGGCTGTTCCTGAAGGTAGGAAAGCAGTTTAAGCCATGCTTGAAGTGAATGAAAAGCCAACAAGAATACTGAGAGCTGCAGCAGAGAACTTGAGGAAATTCCATTCAGCAGAACAATGCTCTTGGATGAACAAAACTGGATAGTGTCGAATCCATACAGAAATTCTATGGGATAAACAGTGCCTCCCTTAACTGTCTGGGTACTGGGGAAAGGATAACCAAAAAATTAAGGATACAAAGTGGATAGTGAACATAATTAACTCTGATTTCAAAAAGCTTTAGCTGAATGTCCTCCACAAGAGGCTAATGCTGAAAATAAATAACCAGTGCTAAAGGGCAAACTACTATCCAGGCTCAATAATTAGAGAAAGCACCAAACCAGCAAGAATAAACCCTTACTCTTCAAGGCAGCCAAAAACAACAGAAATGCATCTGAAACCCCTAACTGCAACTTGTGCTTTTGGCATTCAATTCAGGGCAATTAGAGACACTTGACTTTCAGAAGTGATGGACTTCTTGCCTCTTAAATTCAAGCCCCTTCAGGCCTTGTCACCTTGGAAATGACACTGTTTCACTTTTGGGTCTTTATACATCTTCCACCTTTCTTTATGCAAAGACTTATGTGTATGACAGTTTTTAAACATCTGTATAATCTTATTAAGACCATTTGGGATACTAAGGTGCTTTAAGCCATGAAATTAAATCTTTCCAGGGTTTCAGTCAGAGATTTTTGGAGAGTGGCATACAGAAAGTGCTGAAAGAGAGTGGTGGCAAAGAATTAGGAGTTACCAGTTTACATAAACTAAGGAATCCAGACCAATCATGCCAGAAAAATGAATATAAACTACAGAAAATGAATTAACAAATAGACATGTTGAAAACTCCTACTGAAGTATTTCGACCTGTAATACATGTTCGTCCAATGGTTTCATGCATAAATTTAGAAAAAGAAAAGTGATTGTACTTTTAAGGCTTTACTTGCAAGTTTTAGACTCTTCCTTTGATGAATACCCTAAATAAAACTTTTAAAAGGCAAAAAGAAAAATGTGAAATTCTCAAATTCCTTCCTTCTTTCTTCCCCATTTTTCTTCTTAGAAAAAGAAAAAATGTAGATATTTTATAGTTTGAAAATGCAGATACAACTTGTTTTTCCATGTCCATATACCAACATTTCTGGTTTAGAAAGAAGTACCTGAAAACAATGCACTTTTTTCAAGTAAACACTTCCAGTGAGACAGTAACACTCATTTTAGGTTATTAACACTAAAAATGAAATGTGCTACGTTTAAAATAAAAAGAGGCACTTCTACATTTCTAGAAGCTCAGACTTTAAGAGTTTTTCAGCATAAGAAAACAGTGACTTAGGAAGAAAGTGTGGGAAACATAATTTTCCCATGTTTTTTTTTTTCAAAACTTCCTTAATAACTGGAATTTCCCAATGGAATAGTTAGGCTGCCTCTAGTAATTAGCTCTGTAGAAGAAAACCAGCTTAGCAGATTTAATTCTGGGAAAACCATGCCAAGAGCCAGGATTAGTTTGGCAAAGGGACAAGAGGGTTTCTGTGATTCAGATCAGGGAAAAGAAAGGCCAGTGAGTGTTGTCTCTAATCAGGATGAGTGGATTCTAGAGAAAAGGGTGGACACCTATGTTATCAAAAAGTGAATTTACAGTGTACCATAAGCTGGACTACTTCACATCTTGCCCTCAAGTTTCAGACTACACATCATTGACTGAAAAAATATAGATGATAGTGCTGGAAGTGAGTGGTAGTGGGGAGGATGAGACTGCTGAAGTTAGGATTAGTTCAGTCAGCACAGGATTTAACTAAATCTCTTACTGCTTCATTCACCAAAGAAGAAATGTTCAAAAGGAACTGGTCAGAACTGAAAAGAAGATAAGCAAAGCAAAGAAAGCATTGCAGGTACAGCCATGAGCCAGACAGCTCTTCCCAACCAGCTGATGACTGATCTAGTCCCCTATGATTACCTGGATGATACCTATTTATGTTGGAATGAGTAGAGGATGATTGCCACAGGATAGTCAAAACATGAAGAATAAGTCAGTTATATGAAATTAAACAAGAAACATTCCTTCATTCCACAGTTTGAAGTGTTCCTGCAGAATTGTCTGCTTTAGGGGAATGTAGGTTCAAATGTGGAGGTTGGATTAGAGACTGAAAGGAGCATTTTATTACCACTAACAAAATGTGTCATCCAGTATGATTAATTAAAAAAAAAAAAAGGAAGATAATGAAATCTCATGGTTCAGTAGGAAAGTTCCCTGTGGGACTTTGGGAATAATCCTTCTGCCAAGCTTGGTTATTATGCTGTTGGTTAGATACATCGTATGTCTCCCTCCAAACTTCTGAAATATTAGCTCCTAGATCCAAGACAGGTTATTAGATCTATTTAACATATTTGCTGTACTGTGAAGGCTCATGAAACTAGGAGAGACACAAAGTTCCTGATTACTCTTCCCTCTGAAATCAGGAAGAGCTGAGTTGTGACTTGGAATCAAAACTGAGCAGATTTGTTGGATCTCATTTAAAGATGAGGGCAGGAATGAGAAGTGAACTAATCCCTTGTTGGGGTTGTTACACAATCACAAAGGCAAAAGTGAGCAGGACTGGGTGAATCATGTCAGCTTCTAAAGGTTCTCTGAAGACTCATATTGGATGTGATAGAAAGAACTGCAGTCCCTGCATGGCAGTGTGTGAGTCCCCAAGCTGCCAAGAGAACTCCTCGTACTTTACTCACTTCAGAAGTGCTCTGTATGCACAACACTAGAGAGGACCTCTCCTCGTGAAGTATTATGAGCAATAAGAGCTTCATAATGGCAAAAAGCACTCCCTGAGAACAGAAAAGGGACAGCTGTGGCAAGGAGCTTCCTAAATTCTGTAAGGAATGACTGTTTGAAACAGTTTGGTCAGACTCTTTTTCTATAAGCCTTTGCTCATCTGCATAGACTTCATTTCCCACCAAGAAATCCCACAACAGTTTGTTTGTGTGATGTGTGTAAAGATCAGCTGCACATAGAGGATTTACATCAGATGCTTTTCATTCTTTAAGGCCACCTGTAGAACCTCCCAAGTATATGTATAGAATCCACTGTACAAACCCCCAAGGGGCAGCACTAATAATTCTAAAGGTTTGACAGCATTGTGCTGCTGGTTTTTCAATATTACTTTAGAATGATATTCTGGGGGTGCAAAGAACTCAAATAAAATCTAATAAGAACTCAAATAAAAGTATTATATAAGAGCTGTTCAAGAAACCAGAGGCTAAACCTATTTCAGGATTTGCCTTGTGGGAATGAGTAGATACAAATAGCACTGAGACCTTCAAATTTTGAGAGACTCTGAAATTTATGAGATATAAAAATGTGATCTCCCTGTGTTCCTGTGCTAAAAAGAACATGTTACATTTCATGAAGGTGCATTCAGCTCACAAGAACTAGAGTCATTAATGCTGTATCTGCTCAGTTGCATGTAGGAATGAGGAAAACAGTGGTTATCCCATGATGCTCACAACCTGCTAAGTGGGACATCTAGTTTTCCAAAGGAATCAAGAGGGCAGTCCATGAATGGTGGTCCTAAATGATTTTAATCTATAGTTTAAAAGCAATATACTGCATTGAGAAACAGGAAAAAATATTGGTTTATATTTTAAGCAATTTTCATAGATTTATTAAGAAACTGCAGTATAACTGAGCTGTAAAATAGTAAAATCAGTATCTATTTATTATTGCTATTTATTCCTGTTTAAATCTGGTTGCTATGCCCCCTCCTATATTTGCTCCATCCTGCTGTTTCCTCAACTAGATAATTCTTTGCTTATGTAAAATTACTACTCAAGGAAATTCCTGTTAGTTTCCAAAAGGAGATTTGCTGGAGAGAAGGATGCAGCACTTGACAAGGAATGTGCATGAATATCTGTTTTTATTACTCTGTTCTGCTTTATTCTTTCCACAGCAAATAAGTAGGATTAAGGGAGCATATCTTGAGTGATGGATGATAATTCTGAGCACTGCAACTAAATCTTTTGACTGCCTGGCTTAGTAGTACTTATTATCCTCATCAGCTTCCCTCATAGCAATACTCCCACACTGCTATGTCTGTCTAACACACTGAGACAGTCTAGAGCAGGCAAAGGCCAACTTTAAAAAAAAAAATAAAGAAAGTAACAATTAACTCAAACTTAATTGTGGAAATTATTATGAAACATGGAAGGAAAAACTACACACACACACACACTGCTTATTCAGGCACTATCAGGGATCATTCATCCATTCTTTACTCCACATAGTGGCATGATCCTATCTGTTCTTCTTCCATTCCATTTCACTCCTTCATAGTGTGTTCACATTAGGATCTTGGATACATGATCACACTAAGCTATTTATCTTTGCCATGGAATAGTCACATCAGAGATAGATACAAAGGTGAGTTAGGTATTTGCAAACAACCCCTGAGCTCAGTGTGCTTAGATGTAGAACTTCAAAAGGTAATAAAAAATCAGTCTATTAGATAAATGTATAGGTTTGGATCCACTACAGGAACACTCCTCTGGTAGAAAAGAAACCCAATGGACACCAGAATTCTTGTGGCATAGGCCAATCTACTATTTTGGTCCCTACTGAACTGAACCTTTCAAATCTCTGACCAAACAAAGATTTAGATTTTTCATTGAAAGGAGATCTCCAGTATCTTTTAATTTCTTTTCCTCTCATTGCTATATTTTTAGAGGTTCCAAGAAACAACAAAAATATGCTGGTTTGGAAAATTCAGAATGAAAACTAAACATGGTACCATTTACATTTTTTGTAGAGGAGTTGATATGGCTGTGAAATTTCTGAACACTGCTTAAGGTTTACTCTGTGCATTACTATAGATACTAACCTTTTTATGCTTCCAAACATCTGTGCATGACCTAAAAATCTTCCAAAATCTATGTGGAACATGTGTCCAGCTTTTGTCAGCATGATGTTGTCACTGTGTCGATCACAAACTCCCAGAATGAAGGTAACAACACACCAACCAGCACAGGAATAGAAGAAATTCCTTACTGCCTAGTTAGTAAAACAAAAGCACTTACATGAAACATACAGATGTATTTGTTTGGGATGCTAACAAAACAAACACACCAAAAGAATATAGCTCTACAAATGCTATGCTTGTTGCTAAAATGTTAACAGACATTCGTAGGAATGGGACTCAAACAAGTAACACATTTCAAAGTTCCGACGCAAGAACAATTTTCTGCATGAGGTTTTTACCTTGTGTTTTAAAGATACTTGAAAGTCTGGTAAACTTTAAGGTGAAACATGACTAACCTCCTTGGCAGGAAGCTGACATCTTCTGTTCAATGTTCTGCATGTATAGTGCAAAAACAATTGTTTAAATTAGTTGGAAATCCACACATTTACCCATTTGCTTTGTAAAGCAAGTAAGTTGCTTTATACCCACTGTACCATTCTATGCCTATGTGGATCTTTTTTCTCCAGAACTCAGTTGCCTCTCCCAAACCCTAATCAATCAAGTCTCACAATATTCCAAGTCAAAGAATTAAACCAAATTTTGCAGAAATGAGCAGAAATAAAGCCTCAACAGTTTTCTGCTCAGGGCATCTGTGACTGAATAGAGTATGGGACACCATAGTGCCATGCAGAGAGGCCCCAAAACCAGCCTGACAGTTGTGCTTAACTTCACCTACTCCTCTGATCCTCTCACATGGTGGAGATGTGAACTTTCATGGTTAGTCTGTTCCTGTACCTAGACTGGCTCCTTCAGATCTACCTCATAGAATCAGCTGGGTTGGAAAAGACCTCCAAGATCATCAATCCAACCCTACTGTGGTTACTAAGTGCCACATCCAGTCTCATCTTGAAAACCTCCAGGGATGGTGAATCCACCACCTCCCTGGGCAGCACATTCCTGAATCTCTTGACAATATTACACTGTGGCATTGCTCTTTATGAGTGTGTCCATAGCAGACGTAGCAAAATGGACTTATCTGTAACTATCTGCACAGCAGATTCTCACAGGTGGATTCCAAGTGTTCTGCAAACTTCAGTGGGAAGTATTTAACAGCTATGACTTCTTCTAGGAGAAGAATCTACTCAACCTCTCCCACAAGACACATATTCAGTGTCCACTTTGAGGGGAGAGTTATTCCTGATTGAAATGGTGATCACTCTTCTACTCCAAAGCATAAGGAATAGCTTTTATCTTTTTTTTAATCTTACCTACAGCAGTTTAAGAAGTGAAAATGCAGTTCTCATTCAGAATGGCCCATGAATCTAAATCCCAAGGTATACACAATGTAATATAAAAAGCCAAAAAATCCTAATCTGGATCCTTATGTTTTTTGGACAAAACCTGCATTAGCCAAGTGAAGTCATTATTTAGGCATTCAGGAATTCCCTGGAGATGCAGGATGCCACCTGCAATGCCTGATATGGATGACAGCACTGTGGAAGTCTTAGGCCACAGCACAAGAGTTGGCTGAATTTTATGTCTAACTATGCTACTTACTCACTTTGATGACCTTGGATAAAACACTTAAGCTTTCTGTGATTTTGTTCACCCAACTGTAAAATGAGGATATTAAAACTTGTTCTGCCTCAGTTTTTTGAGCACCTTAGATCCAATACTGTATGAGTAAAAAATTATTAAGGAGTAAAAAAAGAGAAAGGCTCATTCAACTAGCAAGTGTAAAGCGAATGCATAGGAGTAATTTTATGCATTCCCTATGTAATCAGATCTGACTGCATTTTATAGGCTTAAAAAACTGAAAGAAAATGGGCAGAAATTGGTTTTAGAATATTCCAGATTAATGGGACTTTCTACAAACACCAGCAGCAGCAAGAAATTGAGTTTTCAATCAATAATTAATAGTATCTCACTTTTGAATGGAAATGTTGCCTGCTCTTCTATCATAACACTGCAAACATCAAACTCGTAACAAAACATTCTGCACAGATTGTTCCTGGTTAATTGAATCAAATGATACAGTAGGAATTAGAGTGCTCACAGTCAAAATGTGGATGAAAAATGCCTATGGAATAATTACAAAATGACTAAAGTTTATCAAATATATTTACACTATAAATCTACTAACAAAGTGCTATAAAAACACTTCATTTTCAGAGCGGTAAACACACAAAGAACTCCTTTCAATTTAAAATTTAACTGTGGGCACAGAAAAGGGTTCTAAAAATTGCCCCAGCCACACAAACATTAAAAGGTTTTTCATGGGCCTTGGAACATGCTCAGACAAAAAAGAATACATAGAAAGAATTCCTTGGAAAATAGGCTGAATAAATAAATTTTCCAGATTTTTGGCTCATGCATGACATCTAGTTTCATAAAATCAGATGCATTACATGGTATCCCACGAGATCATGTGATATGAAAAGCATGATCCTCTGTATCACGTGATAAAACAGCTTCCTAAAGCTGTGAGTGTTGACATAGTCATTTCCAAACACAGGAAATCTGCCAAAACTTTGTGTGCTTTATACAAAATAAAGCATTTAGAGAGCTGGCCTAAAAATAAATGGTTTAAGTTCAAGACTTAATTTCTACTTCAGTTTCTCTTCACTTTACTACTAAATTTCTAAACATCTCTATGCCACATTTTTGTAGAGAACGTAATACAATGCACCTGATCCAGAGCAGTATCTCCTTGGGGAGTGGCATTAAAGTCAATTCCCTGCCTTTTCTGCATGTGACTTATTTGTCTCATGTCTGAGCCACTTGTCTTTGCTGCCTACTGCAATTTGGCTTCTTTTTTCCCACGATATAACATGAAATGTGTAATAAGCTTCATGATGATTTTACCTCTTGGTAACTTGATTCCAGAGGGTGGTGATGACGGAACCACTTGTTAATTGTGTTCTCTTTCAATGGTCCTATCAGTCCAGACTCCCTGTGGATCTTTGCTAGTGTGGTTGCATCTGGCACCATCTGCACCAATCCTAATCAGATAGAAAAGAGTTTGCATGAAAAAGCTTCAACTTTAAAAAGATATGAAGACCACCAGTGCCTACTGCCACTTCTTGGATCATTCCATGCAGAAAAGAAGCAGCTTAGAATTAAGTAGAAGTAAATAAGCCTATAAATAAGCAGAAAATTAGAAGCTTATAAATAATGAATGCAACAGAAAATGTAGATCAGTGTTGTTCTTCTCTTACTGCTTGGAAATGAAAAATAAAGGACACTTAGTGAAAAGTGTGTGAATGAGAAATAAAATCACCCATAACAATACTGTGGCTATAATTGCCTCAAAGTACCAAAAAAGATCAACAATTTAATGAGATTCAAGGTGTCACTTGGTCCTTTCATTCTTAATCATTAGCTGTAAATCCATTATATTAACACTTCTGTAACTCATAAGGCAAGATGCCTGGAAAAACTGTGAAACACTGAGAGATTTTCTGCTGCTGTGATGCTGCCAGGAAGAGGCTGTCAGGCAGAGAATATTATTTGCAGATGATCCCTGTATCTTTCTTGGCAAACATCAAATTAAGTGCTAGCATATAAAAGCCTATATATAATATTATGTTCAGAAATAGTATTCTTGTATTATTTGCCTTTGAGGCAGAAGCTTTCAAGCTCTGACTCCTACCTCTACAAAGAAGGGAGGAGTCTTTTCCAGGTCACCATAACCACCTGCCATGTGCTTGAACTCATCTATACTTTCTCTTAGTTCCTTCAGATCATTCACCCTCCCTCATTTTCTCTTTGTGGTTCAGAAAGCAATGATTTTTCTTTTAATTCTTCTATTTTAATAGCTTTTGTACAGCAGGTAATCTGGATACATCCCTCTTCTATTGGAGCAAGGATTATTTCCAGTCAAAGATTTGGCCAGTAAAAAATAGCAAACTTACTGCTGTCAGCAGATTTCTTTAGTGAGCAATTGGTATCCCTGCTACAGCTCAGCTATAACAACCATAAAAGAGAGAAATAAAGCTTTCAGATGAGTCAGGCCTGCCCTAAGCAACATAAATCACAAGAGGAATATTTCAAAATCACCAGTGCAAAGCTGTCATCAGTTGTCTACAGGTACTTTCTGCAGTCACATGCATCTAGGCTCATTTAAACATCTGTGCAGGACCAGACTGGATTAAAACTTCAGTAGCCATGGCCAATTTTCTCCCAAGCCCTCTTTTCTGCTATGTGAAATTACTCTTTAGAATCTGCTGCAAGCTGATGGTGTTGAGGCTTTTGCAAAATTCTAGCCTAAGTTGCCACAAAATCCAATGAGTTCATTTGTACTTCTGGAGAGGCAGAATAAATACATTAAAATCCACATTCAGGAGGAGGGAAGTATACAACTCAGGGCTTAAGAAATTGAACATTTGAGTGGGTTTTTTTCTTTAAGGGGTAATATAAATGAGAAACACATGAAAATAAAAGTTAAAGAGATGATTTTTTTGTATACTGCTGTTTACATATCATATGAATAATGTAATACAGGTTCCCTTTATAATCTAAAACTGACCTTGTCCTTTCCCTGTAGATAAACACCTATAAGTGATCATCTGCATATCCAGTCCCTCTTGGAGCCAAATGTTGTCCATCACTCGAATAATCTGCAGAACCAACATATCTTGCCGTAGATCATCACCAACCTGTGAAAATTGCACAAGAAATTCAGTTTTCTCGTTCAATACTAGACAGAAATAACATCCTATTTAATTTGGATTTTTCCCCCCACTAAAATACATTCATTTCACAGTAAATCCCTCTTGTTTTGCTTCAAAGTTGCTGCTTATCTTTCCGTGTCAGAAGAGGACAGAAGAGGACACACAGGCAGAAAGAGTTTTGGCAGCCACTGAGATGGTAGAAAACACTCCCTGATTAACTGTGGCCTTTCTGCTTATTATTCCTATGTAATTATTAGACTTTGAAAATTTAATCCAGAGGTAGGACCCTAATTTAGTTACATCTTAAAGTCTACCTAATGCTAGATCCCTTTTCACAAATGACAGCGTTTGTCTAACATTAAGCTTCACAACTTAGTATTTGCAGCAGGCTGGAGGGGAATTTTATCCTGAATTTACATTTTATCCATGCCATGATTCATATTCAGTTTCAAACAGTGATGCAGTGATGATCACTCTCCCCATGGAGTTGGTCAAACAGTAATCTTAGTGAAATGGGGCTTTAATTGTGGCCACTAGAATTAATGAAGAGATTATTTTCAACCCCGGCTGAGTAAATGGCCTGTGAAAACAACAGCTCTGATCTTTTTGTTTCCCTCATCCCACTCCACGTAAAATGGATGACTTTTACTGATGTTTCAAGTGCTTTATTCTTTCATTACATTCTTTTTATATCACCATTCCAATCTACAGACATTTACTGCCATGAAATGAGTACTTGAGGAGATATAAACGCATCTTAAAAAAAGAATCCAAATCTATTTTTCTTTCCATTTAAAGGTAATCTTGACTCCAATTAATTCTTCTTAGTACCTAAACCTGCAAAAAACCTTATTCTCTCCCACTTACCTTCCCTCACATATACAGTGAGGAGACAATAGAGTATGATACCAGTGCTTATCATTTTATGGATGTGTTATCTGTCATGAATAAGCAATGGAACTGTAGTACAAGTAAAAGATACTTTATCACAATGGTTTGCTGACAGGAGGAGGTGATTCCAGCTACAATCCTTGTACAGCAACCCGACAATTAGTTGTTTAGTCAGCATTACTGGGTAGGGAAAATATTCTCTGGGTAGAACTAGTGCAATTGTTTAAATGCCCCATGGGAAGACATTTGCTCAAGTTACTCAGGTAGGTAGGAACTTGCCTATTTAACACTGATTCTCAGATGAAACAGCATAAGAGCCAGGTTTCTAAATGTTCAGAAAACCTTGAAATTCCTAGTTTCCCCCTAACAGGTCTGGAAAGCAAACTTCTATTTCTGAGAATCACAGCTGCTCTAAAGGTCAGTTTAATTCAAGATAGCATAGAAATATATATTTTTTAAAATTTATTTTTGTCAATTTTTAGGTTCTAGTTCAGAAAATGATTCTGCAAAAGATCTAGGAATAATGCCATTGGCAATACTGACCATTTTGTATCCATCAGCCACTTTATGAACTTGTCTTCTTCTCTAAACCAGTATCCACTCTTAGGGAAGACTTTACTCTTTTGAGAGAGAACTAACTTTAAATTGCAGGTATTGTCTTTTGGGGATGGACTGCTCTGAACTCTGAAGTTTTTCTAGGTGAGAACTGGAAAATAAACCAGGGTTTACTTTCAGAGTCAGTTCCTCCAAGTAATTCTAAGGACACAGAGCTTCTCCGTGCTCCACCTCCATCTTCCTCAGCCCATTCCCCACACTGGCTGGTAGAGGCAGAATTAGTTCTGTGTGGCAAATGCAGCCTCAAACACTTCAGCATTTTGATTGTTTAGACACATTTAGACAAGGCTAATGGATTGAGCCATTCTGAACTATCTCTTCTCCAAGACTTGCCCTCTGACTTCAATGTGATAAACTAGGTTTAAAATATAAACTTTCTATTTTAGTCTGGTAGTTTCCAATCCAAAAAAAAAAACATTGTAAGAAGTCATGTGATTCTCTACTGATCAAAAAGGTGATAGTTCAGTGCATTGCCTCAACATGTTCCATTAAAAGTTCTAGTGTCAAAAAATAATAGGGATAAGAGAGCAGCAGAGCCAAATCATCTGTTTGCAAGCTTAAGGTTTAAAACATAAATTAGGTGAATTTTAAATCAACATATTCCATACCAAAGGAACTGAGGATTAGAGGAAAAACATACCTTAAAAATAACATTGATGTTTCCACCTGGAGCATTCGCATTGATGAAGGAGATTTTTAATGGAAAAGCATTGGATGTGAAATATGAACATGACTTCAGTGGGAAAAAAAGACGAGAGAGAAGAACAACAGTGTCACATACACAAAACATCAGGCTAATGCCATACCTCCAAAAAAGATACCATTTTAAACACTGCTCAGTAGCACTGATAACAAAAATAAGTAATTCTTGATATTATTGACTGTTTAATTGGGTCAGAAAAGTGAGAAATTGTTCTCCCCAGACCGTTTGTTTCACTTAAATATTTTCTGTACTAATTGTTATTCATTTTTATCCAGGCCTGTTAACAATAAGCTTTGGCTGGAAATGAGTGGACAAAGTATATAAACTGATCTAATGAGAATCTGTAAAGCATTGAAAAGCCTTTGGTCCTATTATTGTGTGAAAAAAACCAGCCCTGCCCAATCAGACAATTTTCATGGAAGCAAAGAACCTGCCAGTTTCTTTGGTAACCTCACTCTGGCTAAGGATACAGAAAACTCTGAAAATCATGATCTATTTTATGTGGAATTTATCTTAATTAAACATAAACTCTGACTTCTCATGCCCTCCAGCTTCTTCCACCTGAAGACCTAAAAGAGCTTCAAAAAGCATTAATGAGCCAAGCACCACAAATCCTGTGTGAGTTAGGGTGGTATTACTATCCTCATTAAAAAAAAGGGGGATGAAGGGGAAACCCATTGAAAACCAGCCAAAGACAATGGTAAATTAATGGCCTGATTTCTAGAAATAATGAGCACCACAAGAGCTCCTGTTGTCCTCACAGGGTGGAGTGTAATGGAGGCTAATTTGAACAAACCCACTACTAGACACAGCTGTCTCTTGCTTTTCATCTAAGCATCTCAAAGCATGGTACAAGCATGCAAATATTGCCTTAGCCACATCAAATCTCTGAGACATGCAATAGCCATTACCAATGATGAAATCCCAACCCCCTGTGGAATTCTGCCAATTGAAATGTCTCAGTAAGTGCTTGAAAGGTTACTGGGAGATAATGCATCACTGATAGAGCTGGGAGCAGTGCTTGCTACTAGTAAAATCAATAGATGACACCAAAATGAATTAAATTTAGGTAATTATAAGCACTTCAAAGTTCTAATTTGCATGATTATACCGACATACAGTTCAATCAAGAAGGTGCATGTATTTATAGAAAGATAATGGCCTATAATGATGTAAGAAAAATGAAAAAATTCTCTTCAGATACTTATATTTAAACATTTTGGATCTGTCCAGCAAAGCTGGTGCAGTATTAATAGCATGACTGTATGGTGAGATACCTTCCCATTACTCATTATTTCCCAAAAGCCTGAAAGCAGGGAGAAGCAGCAGGCTGCAAAATTCTCCTGACTCATATCATACACAATTGGCCCAAGCCTGTGGGGTGCTGGAAGCCTTCTGTTCTCAGCCAGATCAAGGCTGAACAGCAACTACTTGGACAAACACAGGTCAAAGGCACTTGAAGGGATCAGCTCTCTTAGAATCAGGTCTACTATGGATAATGAGCCAGAGAACAAAAAGAGAGCACAATTTGCTGTAATTAGGCTATAGCTATATTAGCTATAAGCTACAACTGGTAATATATATGGGTGTTCAGGTTTAGGTTTTTTCTTGCTGCTGGATACATTTTCGTTCTTCAGAGACAGAACATATTATTCCTGGCATAATGTTGTTTATGAAAACATTTCTGGACAATGAATAACTGAATCTTAGTGCTGTGGTCGAAGTCAAGTCAAATAACACTAAAGAGCATTGTTGCTTCCTTTATCCTCAAGTCATTTTTAATAGAGGTCACAGACACAGGTAGGTAAGTGTGAATATTTAATATTTCAGCAATTCTCAGTCATGAGCTAAGTCTCACCTCAGCAAACAGACAAAACAAACTCTACACCTTTAGCTGCTCCCAAACATGACAGGGGAGAGTCTTAGATGAGCAAAAACCTGCCACAAAGAGCTGGTGGCAGGCAGGATGGTAACCAGGTCTCAGCTGCCAGGAATCCAGGTGCCCTTGCCAATCGCAACACCATGGCAGGGCAGCTGAGCTGGGAACAGGCTGCTCAGAGTTTGAAGCCTCTGATGCTGCTGCTGTGCTGTGCTGTGCTGTGTATGCAGCACCCACCCCACCAACACCCTCACCTCTGCCTCAAACAAAGGTCCCTGCTTTAAAGGGGATTAGGCTGGATGTCAGTTCACCAGCTGATTTCCGCTTACTATCAGTACGACCATTTCTCAGTCAATGCAGACATTTCCCCCTCTCCCCTTTACAGTAAAAAGCAAGAATGAAATAAAAGATGTAATCCATGGCACAAGCTTTACTTACATCTGCCTCTATGCCTTGGACAACGAGTGCAGGGTTCAGGGGGAGCCGACAAACCTTTACCTCCTGGAAGAACTGCTGAAGTCTGTGGAGTTCCACCTTTAACACCTCCTGCAACACATGAACTGTTATGGCAACATGAAAGAGCAGCCTTTAAACTGTATTTTAAACAAGCAGTACAGCTTGCCGGGCCAGTAGCAGCCATGTAACCTTGTAAGAGCTAATGAGGTCACACTGAGGTGCAGCTATTAAAAATAAGAACTGTGATTTTACCCCAAACTGATGCTTTATCTGCCTAGATGCACTATCAGCTCAGCCTCTCCTGTAGGTTCAGATGGAGAGACATTATTTACATGGACATGTTTTAACAGGACAATGGGGATTGGCTTCAAACTGAAAAACAGTAGGTTTAGATTAGATATTAGGAAGAAATTCTTCCCTGTGAGGGTGGCAAGGCACTGGCCCAAGTTGCCAAGAGAAGTTGGGGCAGACCCATCCCTGGCAGTGTTCAAAGGCAGGTTGGATGGAGCACTGAGCGGCCTGGTTTAGTGGGAAGTGTCCCTGCCCATAGTAGTGGCTTGGGACTAGATGATCTTCAAGGTCCCTTCCAAGCCAAACCATTCTATGATTCAGCACCTTTCATTAGGGGTCAATTAGCCTTGCATTGTTCTGCTCCATCTCATGTTTTTTGCTTTGCCAGACAACTTCACAATTTGTTGCCTCAACACTGTGATCTCCCTTCCCTGCAAGATTTGGGAGTTTCTCAGTATCACAGTAACTGCAGCCTTGAGATTAATCAACTCTGAATTAGGCATCAGTAATGTATAATTCATTACTGCTGTTTCTTTTTCTTTACATGGATACTCCTTTTGCAAATACTTATATCTTCTTCCTTCCATGTTTGCTTTGCTGCTCTCAGTAGCAGCACTGAGACTTTTCTGAAAAATCCTTTGAAAATCTTTGAATCTTTAAACAAGGGGAAAAGTTTCATGATATCTTTTGTGATAACCAGCAGTGGCAAGTGTATTTTTATTTGCCTTTCTGCTCTGCCTTGCTGTGACCTCAGCAAGAAGCAGTTTTACACATCAGGTAAGTAACAACAGCCATCTAGGAAAATAAACAGTTCTGAATTGGAAACATACCTATGTAACACAAAAGCTGCACCCACTGGAAAGGACAACTGCAATCTGTCAGGAATGCATCTCTGCATATATGTTATTCAGTATTAATTACTGAACATTACATTTGAGATATGAGGTACATTCCACTCTGGTTGTCTTGGCTAAGAAATGAGGATGTGCAGCCTGTCAAGGACATCTCAAAAAAGTCTTCAAGAAACACTGCAGCTCTACAGGAGTCAAATATTTTGGGATGAAGCACTGGATGTGAGCATTCCTTTTGGCAAAATGTTAATCAGTTTTGTTGCCATTATTTCTGGCCACCTCCAAGTCTGGTTGAGAAACCCCTGATGAAGGAATTTAAATGGCTTAAAAGATCTGCTAACCTCAAGAGTAATAGTGATGAGAGTTGCCCCACTAAATATCTGTTTCACTTCTTTTCAGAGCAGCACAAAGTTTTATAAAGTTTAGTCAAACTTGGGTTTATTTATGTAAAGGACATTAAATGAAAGAGGTATCACTTCAGAAAAAAATAAGATTACCTGAAGTATCTTATATGGAAGGGGCAGTATTTTTTAACAAACCTTTCTTTTTGGGTCACTGGCAGCTTTCACTTCTGTGGCAATATCTTCCAGAATTCTGATGAGTCTCCCTTCCTTAGAAAACTCATTGTTCAGGGCTTGTCCAGCACAGAACTGGAGAGCAGCCAGCAGTTTCTTATACCACATTTTGAAATGAACTTCATTCTGTGCATTCTTCAACAGCCTGAAGGAAGGAGAGGAAAAAACAGCTGTGTATCTAAAACTGATTTTTATTTTATATCACTTCTAGCAGGAACAATAAATGGACTCCAGACTAATCTATATTTGGTGACTTTGGATAGCAGAGAATGAAAAAAAATTGTTGCTTATTTGTATTCAATACTCAAGTCCCATTTGATAACTTAATGAGATTCTGAGGGTGTTGAATAAATAGGAACCTGCCATTTCTTATTGTCATTGCAGAGCCTGAACTGCTTCTTATTTCTGCAAGAAAGGTTTGCAAAGTGAAAATAAGTTGCATTTTTTGAAGTCCAGTCTTAAACATATATCCTGAAATCTATTCTTTTTTTCTCCTGCCAGTACACTTACACAAGTAAAGACATCTTTCAGCTGTGAGGTGCACTAAAAGACCATTTTAGCCTAAGTTGTATCATCAGTTCTAGAAACTTCCACTATTTTAAGCTGAGAAGACATTTCTGAAATTGGCTATACTGCTAAAAAGAGTGAAATGAGCCTACTTTATTCCTTTATTTACTGGTAAGTGTTGGTCTAGAGCAAAACCTCAGCTTTTAGTTCTACTGAAGCTAGTAAAAGCTTTGGAACTGGAGTTATGGCCAGCATAAAAGTCAGAAATAAAACCAAAAGTATACATTTTGTTTATCATATTCACCATGTAGTCTTCTGTAATTAAACATCTATTTTGGTCAGGAAAGCTGTGGAGTTTAGAGGATGTTTTCAGTTAATTGAATTGATTATTGTGGAATTTTTTTCCTTATGTGGGTCAGAGGTTTTGGACACTATTTGACTGGTTTTTCTAAGTGCAGATGGAATCACCAGCTTGATATTGCTACTAACATCCTGCCCTTTGCCTGAGGCACTGATGAACTGCTCTTAGCTTTTGCATGAACTTTCCTCCCCACAACTTCATCCTTAAAAACATCTCAAACCATAAATTTCTTATAAATGTCTGAATGTTGATGCAGTTCCCCTTACCTGATGAGGTTCCTCAAACCTAACAAAAAATGCTAGTGTTCATAGGACAGACATCAGAGGAGCTGTGGACTTTCAAGGCATATCACATATGAATATGTCAAATAACAGAAAGCAAAAAACAGGATATGATGTCAAGCACTGATACTTAAAGGTAAAAACCTGTAATTCCTCTAGACACTTCAACTCCTTCAAATTATACATAAGGCATTACAATATTGCTCCTGCAGCACATGCCTCTTTGGGTGATGAGGGATTCTCATCATCTTTAACAAGGCAATGACTCTTCTAGGTCCTCTTTTCCTTTAAAACTCAACACAGAACAATGTCACCTACTCCTTCCTTAAAAGCCTTTCCAGCTACACAAAACCTCTGAACATTTGAGGATTTGAAAATCTTAAAAGAATGTGTGGTGTTTCTATCAGAAATGCCTAGGCATGAAAGGGGAGTGATCTGAGAAGTTTATCATCAGTACTCCCTGAAGGAATCTGAAATGACATTTTTTTTGCTGTAGACTAGCAGAAACAAATAATTGCTTTTTTGGATCCTAAAGAAATACAAGTTGTCATTGCAATGCCTGGTGGAAGGCAAATCCCAGCACACAGAGGCAGCTGTATTCTTATCCTGAACCCTTCACAAACTGAGGAAAGCTGAGAGCATGTGCATATATGGTAGTGGTTAAACAAATTATTTCTTATTTCAATCACAGTAAGTCCAAGATTCATCAGAATGGGATTAATTCGCTTAAATGTAGATAGCTCATGCCATTTTAGACATCCTAGGAAATCCTACTTGGCCTCCAGCTGCTGCCTGGGAAGGGCCTGGATCCACTCAAGGCAGTATCTCATGTGTGCCACTCCCATACAGATGTCTCAGATTCCCTATGCTGTCTAAACCAGCCTATGTTTAGGGTACTGAATCACTCTGCAGTGGCCTCTTAGCTCATTTGTAGGCAAACAAGGCCATTTTAAACAAAAACATACTCTGTCCACTACAGCAGCAAGTCAGCAAGAGGCTCAATGATTAGTTTTTATACAAAAGCATCACTGGCACAGTCCAAACTGCCACATGGGCAGGAATTTTACTCTATCAAAGCAAAGTCCAGCTCAGTCTCAGTGCAGATAAACAACTTGCATTCCTTTTGGTGCCCAGACACAACAAACTCATTCAGTTTTGCCCTGCAAAGACAAGTGCACCTAAAAAAAGACATCACCACTATGCCAGCTATATTGAACCTTCTGTCTGCACTTAGGCTTGCACTGGAATCAGCTCCTTAGCATCTAAATCATATTAATTTACCTACTTCACCTTTAATGGTCCATATTTAGGGGATCCAGAAAGGCTACCTTTTCATGTTGGAGATGTCCCTTTAATCCTCTCAGATATAAAGAATATTAAACCAGCTTTTATTTCTCTAAAACGAAAGGCTTAGAATTTCACATACAGGAAGCAAAATGACAAACCCAAAGTAGTTTACTATTTCAAACAGAGCAACTCCCTGCATAACACAGATCAACTTCGAAGATCCATTTTTTGATTATTCTTATGGCTGAGTGTTCACAGAAAATAAGCTTATATACACATATGATATAAACATTTCTTTTTGACCTGAGAAAGGATTATGGGCCGGATTCAGAGAGCTTATCCATAAGGTGTACATGAGGACAGAGGATGGATGGAGTCTGAATCCTCTCACATGTGATTCTTGAGCCCAGCCCACAGAGAAAGTTGAGGCTGGGCTCAAGAATCATGATCTCACTGGTAAAATCCATTTCCACACAGCTGCAGCCCAGCACACTCTCCACACTGAGCACACATGGCAGCATTTCACAGAGCATGTGCTTCCCCAGCAGCCCTCTGAGGGACTCAGGGCTCTACACTCAAGATGTGTCTAGCAACTGTGGTGCAGCCAGCACAGCTTCCTCCTGCCTGCCCACTGGGGCAGGTGTGCTTCTAAAAGCCTGCAGACCTCAATTTGCAAAATGGTTTGGATTAACTGGGTCTGACTTTTATATCCCTTTGATAAAAGAGGTCCCAAGGAGCATACAAAGGACAGCTTTTAGTGTGGTGACTCAATGTAGGCTTTGCTGAAATGTTTATTTAACAAATGAACAAATATGTTGCTGTAATTCTGTCTCCCCAGTTTCCTGGCACACACATCTTCATCCTGCCACTGCGAGAACTCAGCGGAGAGAGGAATGTCTGCAGCTTCCGAGGTTGCAGGATGGAGAAATGCTCAAGACACTAATGAAATTTTCAAGTTAGAACAGGATGCCTAGCTGTGACAGACCAAGACAAAACTGGAATGATTTAAAACTCAAGGCTGCCAGTAGAGAAGCACGTGAAGTTGTTTTTTCCCTGACAATTTTCACAGGATTCTGCAAGACAGAACTCAATATAAAACTGTGGCTCTGTGCCAGGCCTAGAGAGAGGATCTTGCTCCTAACAGCAGGAAGACTTCCTTACTCTTTTCAGGGTTCTCTGCTTTGGGACAAACACCCTTGTTCTCAGCAACACCACAGGGATTCAGACACTGTCCCAAGGTCACTTCTGTGAAACAGCACAGAAGGATGCTGACCTGAAATTTGGCAATGAAGCAAACTAGACTGCTTCTGCCTAGCAGCAGTTAGTGCCCTAGTCAGGTACTGGGGTGCCCTGAAAGATGCCCATGACTTCTGCAAGCAGCTGCTTCTCTTCCTTCCTGTGTGCACCTGCTCCATGCCTGCAAGGTGGCTCCAACCCCATTTTCTGGCACTTTCAGCTGCAGAAATGTGTCTGTGTTTTCTGGATATAGAAACACAAGTGTGCTGAAGAGACTTTTGCCATAGGGAAGGATAGAAGGTGGGACTGAATCAGGCTGAGTTGGCTCTTGTGTCAAAAGAGAAACAGGACTTGACCTAGCAGCTATGGAGAAAAGGGAAATTAAGAAAAAAAAAGAAGGAAGGAAAGAGATTGGATGGCCCTTGGTAGCAAAACAGGTGAGCTGGCCTCATTCCCCTTCTGTGGTGCTGAGAGACAGGGAAGCTGACACAGTCTGCTCTCTGAGCTGCATTTGGCAGACAAATGAAAGAGTGAGGCAGCTCAGACAGCTCTGCTGCTTCAACATCTGTTCCTTGTCTCCTTCAGAAAGGGGAGCAGGGTGAACCAGAGAGCAGTGCCTGACAGGACAGATTAGCTCACAGGTAGCCTGTTAAACCATGTTGTAGCAAAAACCAAACCAACCTAGAAAAGGAAAGGATCTCCAGGATCTATTGGAGGCTTAGCACCTGCCTGCTATGAAGGAGTAAGGCATAGTTTGACTGTTTGATACACGTGGTGTCAAGAGTAATGACCCTAGTTAATTTATTTCCAAATGATGCTTGGTATTTATTACACAAAAGCTGTGCCCACCAGCACACACACTGTGCACTCTTTGCTTGAAGTGTTTTGAGTTCAGAGACACATCATGAAAAAGAGGTGCCTTAGGGCTTTAAGGTGAGTGCTGAGGTATTTCCTGTTGTTGTTCAATCTTTACTAAACGTGACCAAAGAAGTCAATACTCTTTGTTCTGAAGGAATATTTCATGCTTGCTTCCTCTTTCACTAAGCTGGAGGCAGAAGGAGTCACAGAAGAACAAAACAATAGTACAAGATTGCTGCTCATTATGGCAATAATTGCTTTAAAATTATTCTCCACAGCCTTTGTATCAAAGATTAGCACACAAAAACACTTCTCTAGCACTGCACAGCTTCCATGGCTGAGGTTGCCATCCATCTTGATTATCCCTAGACATCCTGCAAAGCTCCTAAGCTGTCCTTTGTGCTCTATTGTGCCATGGAGCTATGGCACACGCCTGAAGCATAGAACTGATTTCATTTTCAACTCCTTGAAGAAAACGTTTTACTGCCTTTATTTTTAAACAGGAGAAAGCCTTGAGCAACCTGGTCTAGTGGGAGATGTCTCTGCCCAGGACAGGAGGTTGGGACTAGATGATCTCTAAGGTCCACTCCAATCTCTTAACATACTATGATACCT